TGAAAAAAAATAATGGAACTTGTGTGATAAAAATTATGAGTTAACATTCTGTATGAATGAAGAAGCTGCCTTCTCAATATTTAAGTAAATCTTAGGAATAATAATTTTATGAATATTTACATGTAGATTCAAACACATTTTGATGTTAGTAAAGAGAGATGCTCTTATGTCCCATCCAAGTTAGTAATAGCTTATTTATAAAATATGCATTAATTCATTTATTAAAATTATTTATTTATTCTTATGTTCCATCCAAGTTAGCAGTCGCTTATTTATGAAATGTTCACTTATTCATTCATTAAAGTTGATTCACCTGATCATGTTATGCCCTTTTCTTAATTACCATGGGCATAGAATATACAAGTATGCTTGGTACTTATATTCACTGTGTTTTGTAGGTATGAGAAAAATATTTTATGTAGCAAGAATTACACTTTAATATTTATTGAATATAAAAGCATTGATAGATGGAAATCCTAAAAAAAGACTTTTTTATTGTTTTTTTTGTCTTTTGTCTATTTTAGATTCAGTTTTCTATAAAAGTGAAGCTTATTTATACTCCTTTTTTGTCAGTGTATCATTAGAGGGCTCTTATTCTATAGAAATGATATTTACATATTATATCAAGGTATAAAGATTTTTTTTACTTTATAGTTAGTTATGAAGCAGCCTTTGTACTCATTTCCATGGAGATTTTTCAGTGAATATATCCTGATCCAATAATGTTCAAAATTTCAATTAAATTAGAATACTCAATGGTATGTATAGTCCCCTTAGGTTTGTAAAATTCATTTTTATTATTAAATGACATTTTCCAAGATCTAGTTATCCATTTTGTTCAGGTTTATTTTTAACACATTAAAATGAGGGTACCAATGAACTACAGTATAGTATGATTAATGATGAATCACATATATTTAGCTTATATAGCTTTTCTCCACAGTGTATTTCTTTCAAGGACACATGGTTACATAAATAAAACACTCCAAGTGGCCCCAGGTAATTTTTTTTTTCAGCTCCATTCTAGACTTTGTGTAATGTTGGATGATTCAGAGATAAAGTTATCTGCCACCCCTCCCCCTTCAGCAAAGAATTTTGTCTTCCAAATTACTAAGAAAATGAAACCACTTGTTGTGAATTCCTCCATTTCCCCAAGTCCATATAACCAAACTTATATAATTAATTTTTTATGCTCATTCAAGTTAATACTATCTTCTAGGACTGCTTCCTGAATTACATAATTTTAAAGTTATCTTGTTATGTAAACACATAAAGATTCATTACTGTAAAACAGCATAAATAGCAGTAGTTCCATTTTATACTATTAGACACCTATATATCTATATGATCTTATTAAATTATCACAATAGTAGGAGAGCTTAGTTGGATATAATGGCGGTTTTATATATTAGAAAATTCAGAATCGGGTAGCTAGTTAATAACAAGGCCTTAACTAACTTCCTTCTAGCTTTACCCTAGAATTGGTGATAACTTCACCAGTAGATAGATTTTTATAAGATGTGGTATATATTATTTGTCATATCCCCCATTAGGATTTGAGCTTCTTGAGGGTTTTTATTGTTCAGTTGTTTTTCAGTCATGTGTGACTCTTTGTGACCCCATTTGGGGTTTTCTTGGCAAAGATTCTGGAGTTGTTTACCATTTCCTTCTTCAGCTCCTTTTACAGATGAGGAAACTGAGGCAAACAAGATTAAGTGACTTGCCTATGATCACACAGATAGTAATATCTGAGGCTGGATTTGAAATCGGGAAGATGAGTCTTCCCGACACCAAAGCCACCACTCTATCCACTGTGCCACCTACCTGCCCTTCTTGAGGGTAGGGACCATGTTTTGGGTTTTTTTTTAATCTCTAATGCTCATCATAGTACCTAACACATAGCAAGTATTTAATAATTTTTGTTAGATGACAAACTGACTAATGGAACTTTCATAAACTAAATGCCACAGGATATAACTTGGAAAATAAAGAAATGGGCCAGTTGTTTTTGTTGTTGTTGTTGTTGTTCTATAGTATTCTTACAGTTGTAGAAGTAACAGTTTGGTGAAATCTATTGGCATAGCTGAATGTTTTTAAATGCATAACAAAAAATGTATAGGATTGCATGAGGAGAAAGAAGAAGGGGGGTTGGAACATGTCATAGAAGTAACACTTCTGTGTCAAAAAGAGTATGCCTTTCAAATAGTTGGGGAAATAGTGAATCATTACCCTAGTTTTTTTATTATTCCTCTTATAATTTTACTAATGATACTGAAAAATATTCTTCTGTTTTGATCAAAAGATGATATGTGTACTTCACATTATGTTACATAAGACGTTTTGGAAAATTAGTTTCATGTTTGGGAAGAAATCCTTGCTGGGAAAAAGAAAAGGAGAAATGTGAAGCTGTTTCATTACCCATTGAATATGTTCCTAGAGAAATGTGATGATACAATTTCTAGATTATAATAGCACAATAAAAAATCTTTTGCTGACCAAAAACACATACCATATTTTATGTATTCACTGTCCTGTACTTTTCTTTGGGGTGGGGGGGATTGTCATTGGGTTTTATAATATTGTCTCATTTTGTGTGTGCTGTTAACAGCTTGGGACTACTGAAACAAATATAAGGCCTATTAGAGGATAAAGTTTCCTTGGTGTGAGTTTTAATAAAATAATGAGTTTTACTATGAGCATTTTGTTTTAATGGCGGTGGTTGTGTGGGCTTTTCCTTCCAATTTATTATAGTGAGAAAATAGTTATTTGCAATGAGTAATGTGCTTTCTAACACATAGCTGGCTGTTACCCATACCCAGAATTTTCTCTCATCTTCTCTGCCTTCTGACTTCACTGGCTTATTTCAAGTCTTAGCTAATATTTCATCTTCTTCAAGAATCCATTCCCAGTCCTCCTTAATACCGTTCCTCTGAGATTGACAATTCATAAATTAGACAGATGGACAGACAGGCAGATAGATGGATATTTAGATAAAACATAATCATGTGTGTGTTATCTTCTCTCATTAGTTTATAAGTTCTTTGAGGTCAAAGACTGCTTTTCATTTCTTTCTAGCTCCAGTACTCAATCCAGTGTCTGCTACATAGTAGGTACTTACTCAATATTTGTTGACTTGAGTTGATTAAACCCCTAGTGTTTAAGGGTTCAATTCTGCCTTTTTTTAGTCAATGGGAGTTCAGGGTGGGTAGAGGAGATGACAAGGGATTTCACATGGAATTTTCTGAAGTTTCCCCAAATCAGATAATACAACAACAAAATGTCATCCTTTTGATGACTAGTTGATGAATAGAATTTTGACAGTTCTAGAACACATTGACTTTGTTAATAGTGTAACCTGGGATTATGAAGAAGTGTATGAGCATCTCTAAAACAGACAGTACTGGATTATTAATGGTGACTGAACTGAAGACACACACTTAGTTTCATCACAGAAACAGTTCTGTGGTACAACGAATAGAGCACTGGACCTGAAGACAGGAAGATCAAAGTTCAAATCATGCCTCGGACTCTTACTAGCTAGGTAATCCTGGGCAAATCACTTAAGCTATCTGTGCCTCAGTTTCTTCATCTATAAAATGGAAATGATAAAACTACTATCTACCTCACAGGATTGTGGTTACAGGCAAATTAAAAAAAACCTGTAAAGCACTTTGCAAACTTGAAGGAGGTATATAAGTGCTACCTATTAATTAGTTATTATTTTTATTACATATATGGAGCTGACTAAATATATATAACTAAATCTGCTAAGAAAACCTCTAATGGGGTCACAAACAATCAAATACAACTAAAAAAAGAAGACTGAAAAAATTTTATGACCCACCAAGTAAAATATTTTATGTAGTTTGGAAATAAAAACTATTGAATTTTATATTTTTTTACAAGGCAAAGGCCTTGTGGGAGGAAGAGAAAGGGGACACCTTATAACATTCCTAGGAAATTTCCTTGCTAAGAATATGCCAAATAGGGACAGCTAGGTGGCACAGTGGATAGAGCACCGACCCTGAAGTCAAGAGGACCTGAATTCAAATCTGACCTCAGACCAAACACATGACACTAGCTGTGTGACCCTGGACAAGTCACTTAACCCCAATTGCCAGAAAAAAAAAGAATATGTCAAATGGAAGAGTGTCAGGGTGATGTGGTCAGGAAGTAGGGAATTCTTGTATAGAAATGTAGCTGCTGCTACCATGCCCTTTGAAGGAGCATTTGTCAAAGCTACAAGACACAGATTAATGCAGTAGCACAGTACTTGATTTGAAGTTAGGAAGACCTGGGTTCAAATCCTGTCTTAGAAACATATCAGTTATGCAATCCTAGACAAGGCATTTACTTCCAGGACACAGTTCCTTCATCTGTAAAATGAGAAGGTTGGTTTTAATGACTTCCAAGATTCCTTCCAGCTCTATATCTATGATCCTTTAATGAGAAAGGAGAGTGGGCATACCTATGTTGCAGATGACTTCTTGTCACCATACCTATATGGTGGGTTATACCTTCTTGTCCTGAAAGGGTTTAGGGTGAGATTCCAATACTGCACGAAAAAGCAGCCAGGACACCAAAGGATACTTTCATAGTACTTACACATCCCTGTGCCTCAGGGGAGAATAGAGTTAGCTGTGTTTTGTTGAAACCAAAAAAGGACTAATAGGTAGTTTTATAGTATTTTCTTCATGTCTGCTTGAATACAATGCATGTTTGTTGCTATCTGACAGACTTGGGCCTCCACAAGAAAGGACAAAAGTTTGTATGCCCACCCAGATATCCTTACGTGGTATGGTAAGTTTATAAGACCAGATCTAATGGTTTTCTCGTGCTGTGAGATGGCTTTGATAAATATTATTCCAGAAACCACTGAGTTGAGATTCTCTGGAAGTGTGTGCTGAGTTGTTTACATTTAGGAAAAAAAATATTTCTTAAGGAATACAAGCTACAAGTACGGAACTTATCTAAACCTATTCTTTTCCTTGTTTTCCTAGGAATGCAAGTGTTAGAATGGAATGGAATTCCCCTGACTTCTAAAACCTATGAAGAAGTCCAGAGTATCATTAATCAACAAAGTGGGGAAGCAGAAATATGTGTAAGACTGTGAGTTTTTCCCCACCTTTCTGTTTCCATTTTTTTGGCTTTTCATGTGTTGTTTTTCTTTAAAGTTGTTAAGGTGGAACCTTTTGCCAGTTTGTAGGATTTATCTGTACTCACATGTAATTAGAAGATAAAGCTGTAGTGGTTTCTTGTGTCTGTTATAAAACAAAAGCTCTTTAGCATAGAAAAAATGAATTCAATTTTATGTGCAATAAAATGTCAACAGTTCTTTTTCATGTCGTCTATTAAACATGCTTCATTCGGATGAAAGCTGTAACTCACTTATAATCCATGAGAAATGTACAACTAGGTTCCAATTAGTGCAAATAATGAATCTCGTTTAATTGTCAACACTATTCAAATCCACACTGCAAATTTCTGTTTGGGAGAGAACAGGTGACTATACTTTACATAATTATAACGTCAGGGTGAATTTGAATATATGCCATCCCTATGGGGTATTTATTATTCACACTAATTCTGACTTAGCAATATTTGCAGGTAGTAATATTTGCAACATTTCAATATGAACTTGCATTTACTCCATTAAAGATTTCACCTTAAAGAATCATTTTTATCAGCTACTTGACTTTTTTTTAACAGCACTGCAAATATGTATTAACTACAGAAGGGAGTTATGCTTGGGAGTTGCTTTATATATCATTGATCACTTTTCATTTATTGACCTAAAGAAAAGACTGTGGTGACAAGGAGGAAGGACCTTTTGTCTCAGGCTTCTTTTGCTTTCTTTAGGGATATAAACATGCTCTCGGATTCTGAGAATCCTCAGCATCTGGAACTACATGAACCACCAAAGGCTGGTAGGTGAAAATGATATATTTCCAATTGCCTAGAAACCAAATCCCTTAAATATAAAAAGGTGGAATAGATTTAGTTTCATAGGAATCGGAATTGGACCTATGATTTCATAGAGAGATTTCTTAAATGAGGACAGTCATTTCACTGATGCAGGTGAGCATCTTCTCTGAAATTTATAATCTTGGGGAGTTGTCTGCAGAACTGAGAGGTTAAGTGATTTACCCAGGGTCACATTGCCAGTAGGTTTGGCAGAGACAGGACTTGAACCTTGGTCTTTGAGGCTTCAAGGCCATTTCTCTATCTATTACACCACCCAACCTCTCTTTAGGTTCATAATAAAACAAATGTCTTTACTTAATGTAAGAAATTATGAAGACCAGTTGAATCCATGTAGCACCTGACATTTACCTGAGTGCTTACACTTCAATTTTATCAAAGAAATTTGTTCGCATGTAGCATTGTACCTGGCACAATGTAAATGCTTAAGAAATGCTTATTGAATAATACAGGGAATGAATGGATGAATGATGAAAAGCTTAGATTTCATGAGACTCAGTGACCTGTCTACCTTTGCCTAGTTAATAAGTGGCAGAGCTCAAGCCCAGGTCTTCACAATCTAAGTGTAGCACTTTCTCTACTCTATTTGGTTAGGTTTATAGTTAATACTAATCCCCATTTATGTAAAAATGATAATTTTCTTTAGATATCAAAGAAATATGTCCCTCAATAAGTGAAGATTTTGTGTTAAGGTTTGCTCTGAAATATAAAGGATCCTTGGATGGTAGGAAAAAAAAAAAAACCCACATCACATAAAGCATGTTTCCAGGGGCAAGAAAGAACTACCCCATTGATTCCACATAGTATATTTTCTTCTTTCTTGAAAGGCAGCAGTTTATGTTCATTCCAATTTTCAATCTCTTCTATACCTCAAACTTCTTTTGAATGACATAAAATTATTAATTCTCAAGAAGCACATGAAGGGTAAAGGAGAATGAGAGTAAATTATATGAGAGATATAATTAACTGGTTAACCCACAAGGATTTATTAAGTGCCTACCATGTGCCAGACACTTTGCTAAGCAATGGGCATACTGTGATATATATACAAAAAAAAAGTTCAAGAGATAATTTCTGGGTAATGAATCATTTTATTAATCATACTAGGAATAATTAATAGAAGGGGATTCTTGTATAACAAACACCCATCATGGAATCCACTCAACACTTATATGCCTTTGGAAGAATGAATGTTCCTGAGGGTAACAGTCAACTCGGATTGGTTAACAAGTAATGAAAGAATGAATATTATAATGAGGGTAGGCTTATTATACTGAGGGTCTGGGGGACATGACTCTGATCACTCAGTCTTGGTCAAAGAGACATAGCTATAACCATATCACCCCATCTAGGGTAATCTAAACAAAAAGGAGAATCCACTTTTTCTCAGACCTGAGTAAAACACAATGGGCCAGAATCCATCAACTCACCTTAATTAAAATTTCTTTACCTTTTGAATAGATCTGAGTTTTTCATCTCATTATCAGCCCTACATTTCAAAGGCTGCTTGAATAACCTAGAGCGGCTGATTTCTGAATGAGGAAGTAGAAGAAGGGGAAAAACTGTAGGCCCAGTTCAATAATTGGTTATTAATATGAGAGAAATAGTCATTTTTCTCTATACAACAAAAATGAAAGCATTCCTGACCCTACAAGGATTATACTATCCATAATGTGTTACTAATTTCCTTTTAATCAACTGAAGGTTGACATTTTATCTTTGATACCCTGAGTTCTAATAGTGATGGTGTAGAGCATGATAGAGAAGTCAATTTCTTTGACATGACTTAGTACATAAAGCTGTTTTTATCTTATTGCAGTAGAGAAAGCAAAATCTCCCGGAGTGGATCCAAAGCAGCTGGCTGCTGAGCTTCAAAAAGTTTCTCTCCAGCAGTCACCATTGGTTCTTTCTTCAGTTGTTGAAAAAGGATCACATGTTCACTCAGGCCCCACATCAGGTGCATCCAGTGCTGTTCCCAGTCCTGGTCAACCAGGATCGCCCTCTGTGAGCAAAAAAAGGCACAGCAGCAAAGTGAGTCATTTCTAAATGTGTTCCCATTATGGTGTCTTTTCTCATGCCCATCTTTAGATCAGGGAAAAACAAATGAGAGACAATTTTGTATCCCTAAGCTTTCTATTCCAGCATCTTCCCTTTTTCTCTGACAACATAATTGCAAAGGAGTAAAAATGAAAACCATATTTCTTGTATGCTACAATCATTTCTTATCATAATCTATCCTTTTAATCTAGCAAAGTTAATTTTGCTTATACAAATATGAAAGTAGAGTGTGCCACATAGATTTTATGTTTATCACTGTTTTTTTTTTTTAAGTGTGCTTTAGGTGTTCTTCTGAACTTTACAGTAACACTATTAAGAGACAGAAAAACACCTATGTGACTCTAGGCAAGTCTCTGAAACCTCTCTCAGTCTCAGTTTACTCACTAGACAAATTGGAAAAGGCAGAGGACTGAATGACCTCTAAGATACCCTCCAGTGTGATAACAATGACCCTGTGATCCTAATTCCTGTTATACAGTTTATTTTCCAACTGAAGATATGGAGATTACAAATAAACAGCTACCCCCTTTCACACATAGGAGTGTATTCTTTGCATCTTCCTAAATACCAAATAGGTGAAGTGATACCCTACATCCTGGCCTGCTCCATGTAGTGTAGCTATGCAAGGCAGTAGATTTCCTAGTCAAAATTTCACTAGTAATGGCCAAAGGCTGCTGTAATTCTTTCAAAAAGAAAAGTAGATCAGGATACAATCTTTAGAGCAAGTCTGTACTTACAAAGCAGAAGAGGAGAAAGACCAAATTTCCAAGAGCAAGTTTTGTAAGGTAAAAATCATGCCCACTTCTGAGTAAATGGGCAGGCAAGACTGAGACAAGCAAGAGAATTCTGAAAGTTTTATTTATAGCTCTTGTGCTCAGCTATGCTGAACTCACTAGACACACCCACAACTACTACACAAATACAGAGTCTATGTATGTGTGTATATACATACATATATATGTGTGTGTATACACACACACACACACACACACACACATATATATATATACACATACACACAGATATGTATTTGGTAGATATGCTATAGATTTTATATATAATTACTATATGTATGTATATATTTATGTAACCATGTTTATATACATGCCTTGATACAAATACATATGCACCTACAAATATATACATGTATGTATATATGTATATTGGAATAGACACACAAATAATATATAATTTTCTCAGCCAACAGTCTCTTTCCTTTTCCAGAATTCAAGTTCTTCATATCAAATAGAATCACAGAATATTGGAGTCAGAATGGACTGTCTAGTCTAACTCCCTCCTTTTACAGAGTAGGAACCTAAAATCCAGATGCCAAATTCTTGCCCAAGGTCTCACAGCTACTTTGTTGGATGATAAGAAAAATAACCTAATTCTCCTGACTCCCAAGATGGTGTTTTTTGGTTTCTTTTATCCTTAGCCCCTACATCATTCCTAGTAGTTCCCCCTGAGATTTCCTTCTATTTGTTCTCTCTCTCTCTCGCTCTCTCTCTCTCTCTCTCTCTCTCTCACACACACACACACACACACACACACACACACACACACACACACACACACACAC